GATCGCTCCCCCGAGAGCAGGGAGGAAAGCTGCGGCCTCCGAGGCGCGCGCTTTCCACAGGCCCTGGCCAGCTCTCTGCACTTCACAGTTATTGTGAGCGGGAGAGTGTGGACGAGGAGGCAGCATGGCTGGGCATCCTTTTCGAAATCTGCCGGTAGGAAGGTCTGGGTATTTATATTAGGACCACTTCATCCTAAGCAACAGGGAGAGGATGTCCCAAAATAACTAACCTGGAGAGTCTATTCGAGCCTTCCTAGCCGAGTGTCCTGGTGGTAAGCCAACCGGCAGAACCAAATCTAGTAAAGTCTATGGGTTGTGTATAAATAAAGCGACAAGACCCCCAGCCTCACCCCCATCTGAGGGACATGCCCCTCCTTCCACGGAAGCTAAGATTTATCCTAGAGAGGCTTCCTTCCTCCTGAAGGACCCTAATGACTCAGCTTTTTAAAAAAAAATCTATTTGGGGATATTTCTAATCTAACTCTTGAAATATGAAACCAGTAGGAAAGGCATTGTTGGGTTTTCTTGTCAAAATGAGAGATTATTCATCTGTAGACAGTTATTTAAATGCATCTTCTTGACTCCTCAGGGTGTTTCTGATCTCACTTAACTATTACATGTCAACACTGATTTTTTTAAAACAATTTAATCATCACATTAATGTAATTAAGAGGCCAAGCTCTGGAGTCAGCCTTGATTTAAACCCTAGTTGGAGGATTCACATCCTGGCTCTAGGACCTGCATCAGATTCCTTGGACTCCTCATCTATGAAATGGAAATCCTTAGGACCCACCTCTTAATGGGGTGATGGGGTGAAAGCACTCTGTGACCCAGACATGCACTGAGTAAATAAGCTGTCATTTTCATTTCCGTTTTTATTATCAATATTATTTCCACAAGAAAGTGGCCTACACACATAAGGAAAAACAGAAAAGGCAAGGGGAGCGAACGTCCTCATTTCCACTTAAAGCATGATACACGATCACTGTGGGGTATATTCTCTTTGAAAAGATTATATTTCGTTGAATTTATCTCTTTACTCAAAAATACGTTTATTCCAAAAATCAATGTATTCAGTAAGAAAATTTTGCATGTGCAAGATACATGTCGTGGAGGGCCAGGCCATCTTGCTCATCTAGCCCATGCAGGGAGAATACAGGGTAAGCCACTCTCAGGGGCTGTCTTGCATCTGCCTGCCTTGGGCAAAGTGCGCCAAAAATACTACTAGTATGCTCTGGAGAGGAGAAACCGTGGGTTCAGGCTGCTCCCATTTCTCAGGTGAAATTGCCACTTTCTCTGGTCCTTGAGGTCATCTCTTGTGTAAATAAGACGATGTGGATTTTCAAAGGCCCTTTCTCACCCTAAAAGTATAAAGAATATGTATTATCAAATCATTATGGAGTTGTTCTGTACAGGGTCTAGAGCTGAGCATTGTGGGAGATTTCAACTTGATCGACAGGCATTTGGGACCTGACAAATTACACTAGTTCTCAAATTCCAAATCTCCCACCCCCTGCCTGTTCCTTCCTTTCCCCTCACCATTCCCCCCACCCACATATTCCATCAGCATGAGCATAACCTGGCAATTCATTAGCATAGAATTGCAGATTATCTACCTCAAGCCAGATCTGCTGAATCAGAAACTCTGGAAGTGGGACTCAGCAATCTGTGATTCAAAAAGCCCTCCAGGTGATTCTGGTGAATGCTAATTTGAGAACCTTTGGTTTACACAGCACTTCTTCACACATTGTCTACAACAGATCAGAAGGTGTGTTATGTCCATGATTAGTATGTTTCTTCGTGCTGGGCACTGTGCTAAGCACTTTGTTGTCTCATTTAATCCTTTCATAACCTGTGCACTCAGCTATAGTCACATGGGTATCCCTGTACTTCTTCCAGAGTCCAGCTTCTTCCCCTCTCAGGTCCTTCTTTTCCTGGTAGTCCCTCCTCATCTCTCAGGACTCAATATCCCCTATTCCAGGAGGTCTTCCCTGACACTCCCAGGCTAGGTTAGCTCCTGCTGGTTAAATTTATCACAGCTTATTGCAATGGAATTGGTTATTTGTGTCGTTACCTATTTAATATTTGTGTCCACTATTAAATTCTAAGCTACACGAGTCAGGGACCCTATCTGTCCTACTCTCCAATGTATTCCTAGTACCTAGCAGTGACACTGTTGGTCACCTAGAAAGTGCTCAATAAATGTTTATTGAAGGAATGAATGTTGAACAGATGAATCCCCTTTCTATGTAAGAGAAGCTGAGGCTCAAAGTTGTTACTTTCCTGAGATCACACACTTAGAAAGTATTAGAGCTGGGACTCTAAGTAGTAAAGAATAGGTTCAGGATTAGACTCATGTCTTCTAACATTTATGCTCTTCTCCACCACATTATGCTTCTTTATCCTGCCCTCCAGGAACTTAGAGCTAGTGGGATAGGACAAGGCAAACATATAGGACAAATTAAATTCATAGTGAAATAAAGGAAGCAGGACCTATCTCCAGAACCTGGTACATAGTAGATGTTCAATGAATAATGATCATAGCTCCCACCTTTTGAATATTTACAATAAATTTCTTTCTACTAAGCATTTACAAGCATATGCAGTGTTTCTCAAAGTAGGATCCTTGATGTCTGCAAACCTTGTTAAAATGCAGGTACCTGGAATTTTGACCAAATGGACTAGAGTCTATGGGTATGGATCTTGAGAATCTGCATTCTCACTTCTCTCTCTAATTGACTCTCATGCCAATAAAGTTTGAGAAACACTCTGATGTTACCATACCCAAGACAAACATTGGTAGCCCCTTATGCACAAGAAGAAATGCTGCTAAAGATGTAATGAAAGTTGCTGAACGTCACACCACAAATAAGCATTAGAGACAGTAAGGATTTGAATATAATTTTGACTCCAAAAAACTGTTCTTTTCACTGCCACTGGAAAGCAGAATGGAAGAACAGGCAGGAAGGGAAGAAGAGAAGGATGGAGAGAGGAAGGGAAGAAAGAAGGAGAGAGGAAGGCCAAATGATTAATAGAATAGATTTTATTGAGAAGGGAAAGAACTCATCAGACAAGGTTTTCAGAGAATATTTGCTGAAAGACCTGGGAACTGAAAGGAGATTTGTGAGCTCCCCTGACCCTCTGCTTATCTGATAACACTCACTCCTTGTGGCCAGAGGATGGCCTTTTAAATAAGTGCACTCATAGAATATGATGATTATAGTCGCCAAAAAAGCATCCTTAGAAGGAATGAGCACTGACCCTCGACCCTCTCGGGTGTGAAGAAGCTCCCTGCCCTATACAGGGCCTGCAAGGGGCCACCCCATCCAGATTCCTGCTACCTTTTTCATGTCTGCAGCCCACAGCTGAGTGCAGGCGGAGCCCATGGGTTGCAGAGCTCCTAAGTGGCCTGAAGATCAGAGGCAGTCCTTTGGATTCAGACAAATCATTTCACACACAGGGTCAGGTAATTATGAAAATTCAGGGAGGATAAGAGTGAACTCGCTCCAGACTGGTTTTAAATATTGACTTTTAGAAGCAGATCAGCTCCCTACACCTTCAGCTCCCTAATGCAACTAATTGCATTCATGCATTCATTCTGTTGTTCAGTATTATGGCACACCTACTTTCTACCAGGACTAATCACTTGCATCATTTAAGCTTCAGAGTTGGAACTGTAATCTGGGCTTTAAAGCCTCCACGAAAATAATCTACTAGAAAACTCAATTTCCGTTAAATTTCGTTGGCATGGCAACCACCAAGCTACATGGAGAGTGCCTTAAATCCCACAGCAGTCTGTTAGCCCCAGTGAGTCTGCGGGGAGCAGGCCATATATAGAGGCTAAAAATAGACAACTTACAGCAAAGTGCCCCCCATTTCCTACCCCCACCAGTTAGGAGGAATGTGTTTGAGTTATTCCCCGTGGTTGTGTCAAAGGTGAGTCAGATGAGAGAATGGGCCAGTCTTCCGGTTTGCAGGTTTTTCCAGCCAGAGGCCCGGACTAGGAATATAGAGACCCAAGGTCAAATACCAACTTCACCCCCTACTTGATTTGTGTGAGATTTAGTTCAAGCTGGGTAGTGTCTCTGGGCTTTCGTGTCCTCATTCATAAAAGGCAGGATCTGTGATATCTTAAGGGCTTTCCATTGCCACAGTCCTCATTGCTAGCAGTTCATGAGTTTGTCATTTCCTTGCTAGCATGGATGGGTGGCCAGGGGAGAGGACATGGCAGGCAGTCCCAGTGGTGGTGAGGTTTGTCAATAGGCGATTTGGCAAATATTATGTCATCTCTTCTGGTAATAACAGCTGTCATGTGCCCTGTACCAAGGATGGTTCTCAGTGATTTTCACATGATATGCCATTTAGCCTTCCTAACAAGGCTAGGAGAGAGGCAATACTAGTATCCCTATTTCATAGATGAGTAAACTGAGTCATAGGGACGTAAAGTAAACAGACCATTTTCAGAGAGGGAGCCAATTATATAGCTAGGATTTTAATCCAGGCGACCTAAATTCAGAACCTACGTGCTTAACCATTATTCCATTGTGCCTCTAGTGCCCAGATAATGGTCTGGCTCCCTAAGGGGCCGCAACAACTAATTGTTGAATGTGCAATGAATGACTGCTATGCTAGAAGGTTCTACATATCTATTATTCACAAGGCTTCAAGCCCTTTCCTTTCTTGATGGTTTCTAA